GGGAATAAGAGAGAGAATATACGGCCCTGAAATTCGGTACATCAAGGGCGAATAGAACATCGTCGCCGATGTGTTGTTGAGACTTAACATCTCTAAACACGACGGTTCTTCAGAACAGATTGACGCCAGCGAGATCGCTGTACTCATGGCTGCAGACGAAGAGGACTTCCCCAGTGAGTTCCCTCTCTCGTCCCCGAGATCGAACATCGTCAGAAAAGACGACAACGATATCAAGGAAGCTCCTCAGGGACAAGACCAAACCGACTAGAAGAAGCAAGCTTTCCCCAGAGGGGAAAAGTCCTACGACTTAGTATTCAAGGACGAGAAAATCGTCGTACCCTAAAACTATGCAGAAGAATCTAGTTGAATGTACGATGGTGTGCTGATGCATCCTGGCGAGACTCGCACGGAACTAACCTTCAGCCAACACTACACCTGGAAAAGGCTGCGCAGGACTGTGCAGACCGTATGTCAGCGTGCCAAAGAGCTGCCAAATGAACAAACCCAAGACGCGTAAGCTGGGATTGATGCCTCCAAAGACTTGCGAGGAGATCCTTGGGAAAGACTATGTAGTATTGACCTGATAGGCCTCTTACTACGTCGGGGATCCCAAGAAAAAGAATTCCTGCATACTTCATTGCTTGACAATAATTGATCCCGTGAACGGATGGTTCGAGATTGCAGATATCTGCTCCAAGGCAGCAGAAGAAGTAGCCATCGTCCTAGTACAAACGTGGCTTACTCGGTATCAATGGCCTGCTGAGGTTATCATGATAGTAGAGCACGTGAGTTCCGCGCAGAGGTTCGAAAAGACACTCCGGGATGAATAAGGACTTCGTAGCAAGTTCATCACCACGCGTAACCCTCAGCCAACTCTAATGGTCGAGCGTGCTCATCAAACCATACGTAACTTGATCGCTTGTCAAAACATCAAGTGCCAAGACGACCTCGTGAATGGATCCTGGGATGGAGTCCTCACGGCGGTTCGCTTTGCAATGAATGCCACGATCCATACCACCTGGCGCGCAACGCCCGCACAGCTCGTGTTCACGTGACGGATCACAACGTCCGGTCGAAGCCCAACTGGAAAATCATTAAGGAACGTCGCCAAACGACTAATCAACAAAACAACGATAGGGAAAACGCAACGCGTGTCCCTCAGCAATACAACGTCAACGATACTGTGATGATCAACAGTATCACCACCGCAAGTACGGTCACACAAAGTAACAAAGGGCCTTACACTATAGACCGAGTCAAGTACAATGGCACTGTACGGCTCAACATGCTACCGCCAACGGCGCACAGTCTACCAGACTTGGAACATATGGTATTTACACCCATACATTGCCTGATCCCCTTGTAGATTGCCATCGTGCGACGCAGATGTCTACATCCATCCTCATGAGAGTGCCCGCACTTTAAAATCATATGTTCTCCTTGGCCGACTGCTGTCGCGCCTTCTGTGAACCTTGTCAGGGGCGAATGCAATACACGGCTCTTAGCCTTATTCGCGCTTCGATCCTAGATAGGGTTTGAGTTCGACTCATGACGGAGTCTCTCGTGAATAGTCATTTGAGACCAGGTTCCAATGACCGCGCTAGTCACACAGGTTGATGATGAAACATAGCTAGAATTAGCCAGCGTGGAGTAAGTCCACGCTACTAGATCCAGGCAAGACAAACCTTCACACGCTTTCCGTTTTAGGATCGTGGGAAGAGAACGTAGGATTACAACCACAACCTACTCTATCACACTTTATAGTCTGCCGCGGGAAGCCAGATCTACGACCCTTTGAAATGATGATCTCTCTCGTTGATTAGTTTTCAAAACTTAGCTTTCTAATCTCTCTCATAACTTCATTCTCTCAAACTCAAAACACTCGAAAGATCTTTATCACTAGCGTTAAGCGTAGTGCAAAAGCGGTTTTACGAGCTACGGAGAACGACCAATGAAGAGTGTCCACGGGCGGAAGCGTCAGCGAACTGATGAGGAGAAATGACCTTTTATGGCTGACACTGTGGGCATTTCGTGCATCCATCAGCGATCAAAGGAAACGACTGGGTGTTAACTGGTGAAACTTCAGCGGGAGAAATTTTGAGGAAAGAAGAAGCTTTGGTTCGGGTTCCACAATGGGCCTTCCCAGAAGCAGGCGGTTTTGGTGCGAATATCCTGACGTGTCCTTCTGGCGAACTGAACCAGGAAATGGATACTTATGCGGAAGTGCTGTTGGCTTGGTACTTGCCGCATCGATGGTTTGGGCTTTAAAAAAAATTTTTAAAGAAAGTCCGTAACCCCCAGCCCAACTTTGCTTTCGCTGGAAGACTTCGTGAAGTGTATGAATACGATTGTCTGAGAAAAGCGAATAACGAAGAACCCGTCATCTTCTCAGAAAGGAACCTGTCATTCATCCAGAACATTCAAGACACCGCTTTCAACAACCCGAGGTATAAGGTGAAAGAGGATGATCTCCAACGAGTCACTAAGCCCTATAGACCGGAAAATTGTGAGGAGAACATGTACGAATACGAATCTGATGATGAGCACGAACATGAGGAAGATGACCTGATTCAAAAGGTTTACGAGGATTGGATACGTGATCTTGAGAGCCAGGGCACAACAGATTAAAACCGGGACTTTCTGGCAAGCACATTTAATGGTCTTAGTTTTACGGCTATACGTCAAAATGGAAGCGACAACGCAGTATATAACGTGCAGTTACCCATTCCTGAGAATTCGTTATATGAAGACGAATTTGTTACCATAAGTGGTGACTTTCACACGACTGGCAATACAAAGAAAAGCAAAGTGAAACCGCCAACACCTCGATATCACAAGATCATTGAATTTCTACTTAACAAACGGGTGTGCATCCAAAGGGCAAATGTATTTAAGTACAACCCGGAGGTTGAAGTGTCGCAGGCGATTGGAAGCGTGAGAAGTATGAGTGACTGGGCAACGGCTGCCAATCTGGACGACAAGCAGAGAAGGCTTTCGAGTGTATCATTGCAGCCTTCTTGTTGAAATTTTATGAGGAAGCTGAAAAGGTGAACTTAGAGGATGGAGTCCCGGATATGGGGTTGAAGGCAAAAGTCCGACTTTCTCGTAAAAACCTTTTGACTTTGAAGGGAAGTCGTGGCCACCAACTGATTCTTCTTCTACATGGCCTGGAGGAAGGGGGAAGACTACCGTAATTGACCTAGTCATGGCCTATGGCAAGGAATTCTGCAGTTTGATTGATAATCCATTTAACGACCGAACCATTGTTGGCACTGCTATGTCGGGGGTTGCTGCTACAATACTTCATGGGGAAACAACGCATCCAGCTGTGGGATTGAACAGAACTCGGGAAAGTGTGGCGAAGAACTTGGTAGAGGAATGGAGTGACGCACGGATGCTTATCTTCGACGAAATTTCATTCGCTGGGGAACTTGACTTAGTGAAGAAATTCCACTACACCAAGACATTGATGCAAGACGAATACCAACCATTTGGGGTACTTAACTTGGTGTTCGCCGGGGACTACTCTCAACTTGAACCAGTGGGACGCCCCGCAATTTACAATCTTCAGCACACTATTCCTGAATTTCATGACTCTCTGAATTCATTATTGAGTTAGATGGAATGCAGCGCTTCAAAGACGATCCTGAATTGGGGCAACGCTGTTTAAGATTGCGTGAAGGGCGACCAACAGAAGAAGATATTGAGACCATCAATGACGCCTGCATGGTTGGCCCAACCCATGTCCCACCAGAGAACATTCAATTTGCTACTTATCTGAATCGAGATCGAGATGCCATTAACTCAGCTTTCTTCGAAGAATTTTGCGGTAAGAACAAACCTGCTGATGATTTCGTGCTGATGGATGCAGTACTCATTTTCATGGACGATCTTCAAATGGCCAATCAAGGCAGGGACACTGGTTCGTGTTAAGAGCAATTCGGTCTTAAAGCACTTCTTTTCAACATTGGAGAAGACTCGTAAAAACCCGGTTCGGACTCACGAAAACGTGTTGATCCTGCTTTGAATTTATATAAGGGGTGTCCTGTAATAGTTTACAGAGAACACGAATTTCCGAATGGAGAAGCCAATGGACTCGGCTTTTTGTGAGAAAGTGAATGTGAGGGATGGTTGCACCCCATGGTTATTCAACTCTACAACGGCTGCAAGATTCGGGCTTTACTCAGGTCAAGTCAAATCTATCCTGTGGAACATGAAATGGAGACATTATGCCACGTACTTTTTATGTAACGGAGCACAGACTACACTTTCAGTACCAAGATGGTTTTATGACGGAAAAGTTGTACACACCAAGATGAAGGTTAAGCAGTTCCCGATTATCAGCAATTCTGCGACAACTGGTACACAAATTACATGGGATAAACTGCAGTGTGTTTATTGGTACATTCATGGCGATACTGTCAAAACTGGGCTTACGTGGTGTTATCAAGGGTGCGAAACATGAGTGGTTGTTCTTATTGAAGAAGCTGGATGGGATCCAAAAACTTTGCCATGCGCACAACAAATGAGAGACATGCTTGCAAGATTTAAGATACTATTGGGCTTTCTGTCCTAGGAGAAGATCAATACGATTGAAATGTTCCAGCGAGAAGACGGGTTCTTGTTATAAGTATAACGGTATGGATATAGGGTAAATTAATCTGTATATAAAAACTTTTATTACTACAACTACCTTTCTAGATTCGCATTGCACCTCGTACGTCATTCAATGTCAGTCATTGAAAAAAGATCAAGCGTCCAATCAAATCACAGGCGACCCGAAAAATTAGGAGCCAATTTTTAAAATGTGAAGAACGCAAGGCGACTTTCATGTGCATGTACATGCGTTGACTGTATCCCGTCAATACAATACTAGTCGAATACGTAGACTTCTACAGGGCCTTCTAAGTAATGCGCGCCGGGTATAATTCAAACCTCTGCCCCCATCGGTACCATTACCCCTAAAGCAAATCGTCTCCAGGAGACGAAATTTAAGTCACGACTGCCACGTGACTAAAGATATCTCAAAGATTGGAAGATCTTTGGACGTCGATCACCAAGCAATTGCAGGTAAAAGATTAATCCAGTAAAGCTGCCGAGGCTTGAATAACGCGTCTCTCCCGGCCTGAGGATCCGTCAATGCTTTCAAACTTGCCGATGGATTGCTTTCGGGAATTGTGGCTTGGAGGCCCACCCAGCCAGGGAGGCACAAAGCCTACAAGACAGGCTTCTTCTGAATTCTAGTAGCTAGGTTTTCTAAAATGGTTTTCTAAAATGGTTTTCTAAAATGTGGATGTGAACACATGACAAAATGCGCGAGAGGAGTCAAGGCTTCAGTTTTTGTCACTGGGGCCTTCAATGGCAAAAGGATCATTCCCAACTTCATATGGCGTCCTCTGAAACATTGGCTCGCAAGCCTGAAACAATCCAGTCGGAACTGAAAGTGTGCCATTCTTGGTCACCTGTGCTTCGAACTCCCCACAAGCTTCAATCCACTCTTGTGCGGGTGGTGGTTCGACCTTATCCTGCAATTTCTTGGCCATAAAATCCGCAATCCGCCGCACCCGAGAGCCCTTGAAGAAGAAAAGCACTTTCTTCAGTAAGGAATAAAAGACAATCGAAATGGCGCTCATTTTGATTTTGGCGGACAAGTCCAGGCCTCCCTTGAGCCCTCGATCCCCACCAATAGTGGACAACAAGCTCAGATAGCCATGACGAGCGTACATGAAGCGACCAAGATGCCGCAAGACAACATTCACGTCTTGGGGCGTACAGACTCCGTCCTTGACTAACTTGTTGCCATGGCGCATGTTCATGGTAAGGAATGAGTTGAAGAGATGTCCTGGAATGGTCTTTTTCATGACGACCGCTTCAAATCCAGCTTGAGAATACCAAGCTTGTGCGGCATTGACATGAGTTTGAGATGTTCCATAGATTTCCAAGAAGGAATCCAAATAAGGGATTGTCGGATGTCCGACCAATACTCGATCCTTGTGATGTTTGCATTTTGTGATCAAGAGCTCATGAGGGATGTAAGAGGTACTGCTGGAAATGATCGTCGACGGTTGATCGGCCAAGAGCTCATCCAATCGGCCCAATACTTCTTGCTTACTCTCAATGTCCTCTATTGTACATTCTTGTACAAACTGTGTAGGATTTTCCCTCAATGCTGTCTCCACGCTACTTTCGAAGGTCAATCTCTCAAAAGGAGGGCTTGTTGGGCAGGAATCAAATTTGCCTCCGATGCCGCGAGCTCTTACGGTGGGCCAGACTGTCTCGATTCGCTTCTTAAGATCTGCTTCGGATACAAAGGGGTCACTACAGACCACACGTTTCCCGCTTGCCAGGTAGACAGCACAAAACGAAGATCCAATGAAACCTCCCCCAACCACTACCACTGCCCCAGATTGTGGCTTTGTTGTAAGAGGAGGAGTGCGGAGTGATTCGGTGGAAAGCGCAAACCCCTGCTTCAGATAAGCGGCTATCAGGAGAAGGATACTGAGAAGTTCTGGAGTTATCATGATTTGTTGCTTCGTTTGTTGATGGAACAAAATCTGTGATTGTGAGAGTTGCACCAGGAGAGGGACCTTGCACCAATCGGCTCGTCAGCATTTTTTTTTCCGACATGGCATTGGCGTTCGAGGCTTCATGCAGACTTTCGTTCCAACACGTCAGTTTGGACCTTTGGCCGTGGAAAAGTGGATGTAAAGCTGAATCCAGTAAAGCTGCAAAGGCCCACCGCAGGGAATATCGCAACCACCAGGTGGTACATGCATGTTATGGTACCGGTAGGCCAACATACGTTTCGGTATGCACGGACTGCTAAAAAGGCGACAACATATTGTAGAAACTTCCCCCCAAAATTAATTGTATGGTCGCACCTCTTGTTGTTCAGCTAACTTTCGTTTTGGGAAAGCAAACCAATAAAATCCCGATTCATGATCAAGTCCAGCTATCGTAGCTAGCTATCACCGACTGCCTGTATGACAGATCCTGGAAGGTGTAGCCTATGATGAGTGCCATCCATATATCAGTGTCCGTAAATAATCCACCTTACTCTAAACCCCTCGCAGCAGTGTATTTATTTGTCCTCAAGATTGACCGTCGCTTTTGCTGGTACATCGTAACTGGTACATGTACCGAGAGCATGAAACAGTCAGGTAGTATCCCAGTTAGCAACAACCCTAATATCAGTGTTAAAGCTAAGGCTAATGTTGACACTTAACAGCTGGTTTCCTGGGGTCGAGTGGATGGATCGTACATACATGCATGTACCGGTATGATGGCGGTATCTTTTGCGGTTGAGCGCTCCCTTCAACCGCCTCCAAGCAATAATAATAGTGAAATCCCAGAACCAAACAAGACAAGACAAGGTCAGGTGTCCGATTGGATCCGTCCATCTCGCATCAGCTCGATCCGCCATCATCTATCTCCTGGCTCTAGCGAAGCTAACTGAACTCTGAACTGGTTGTGCTCTGCCCTGCTTGAATGAATGTAGAGCCAGCAGTGTCACAGTAGACCTGTTGAGCTGTTGTGATTGTATCTTCTACTACTAGTATTAAAACCAACGCTACGATACGCTTGTGTGGAGTGGCTGTGATACCCCTGAGCCTGTGGTTGTCTGGAAGACTTCTTTTGTTGCTACTAGTGCCATATCCGTTGGATTGTGGTGCAATTCCTACGACAAGTGCTACCTGTGCATCTACTAGTTCTAGCTGTGAGGCATTTGCAATGGCCAAGGACCAGTTGGTCTTTGACAAGGTGCATGGTCCCTTGTTTGGAGAAGTGACCGAGACGTCGGTGGTGGTCTGGTATCGCGATGAACTGGGAGTACAGTTTCCTCCCGTCTTGACCGTTTGGAAAGATGACGACGACCCCGAAGACGACACGACCAAGATTAAACTGAAACTCCATCCGATGGATCCAAATGCCGATTTCACGTCCAAAACGACCTTGACGGGTCTCACACCGGCGACGTTGTATGTATACGAAATTGGAGATCGCTACGGATCCTTCAAGACGAGTGGCAGTAAGAGTGTTCATTTTGTATTTGGATCTTGTATTGGAGGACAGGGGTACGGCCGGTACACACCCGAGCATCCCGATGGACCCGGATTTCCCATTTTCAAGGCCATGGCCAAGTTGGAACCAGATTTCATCCAAATACAGGGCGATTTCATTTATGCGGATAACCCCATTCACAAGGTCTCTCCGGTACCATTCTTTCAAGGACAAACCTTTCAGACGCCCAACAATGTCGACGTCCTCGAAGTCGCCACCGACTTGGAGTCCTTCCGGGCACGGTACAAGTACAATCTCGAAGACGAAGCACTGGGAGATTTTTTACGCAATACCGTTGTCTTTAATACATGGGACGATCACGAAATTTTTGATGATTTTGGACAAGATCGACTCAAAAGTCAAGGCAAAGAAGATCTATATCAACACGGCGAACGCGTCTTTCACGAATACTGGCCGTTCGAAGGACCACCCGAAGAACCCAAAAGAATATACCGCAAGGCGAAATTTGGAATTCACGCCGAATTGTTTGTGCTCGATACTCGATCCTACCGTGCATTGCACGAAGAACACGATCCCGGTGTGACACCCACCATGAAACACATTCTAGGCCCGGAGCAAAAACAATGGTTACTCGATGCCCTGCGGGATTCGACAACCACGTGGAAATTCATTTGTACCAGTGTCCCACTCGCGTATCCGACGGGATGGCCCCGTCCCGCCGAAACCGGATACGACGGATGGTCCGATGGCAGTGATGTCAGTATGGGAGGACCCGAATTGGAATTGCAAGAAGTACTCTATTTTATTCAACAAAATCAGATTCACAATGTCATGTTCATTTCCGGGGATGTCCATTTTCCCTTTGCCATTTCCTACGATCCCTTTGAGCAGGGGACACCGCTGTTTTACGAAATTGGATCGACACCCTTTCATGCCCTCTGTTTGCCCGTGCCGGAAAAAGGACCCGACAAGTCGTTCAACCCCACAACTCTCTATGCCGATGGAAAATTTGCCGATCAATCCTTTCTCAACTTTGGACAGGTCAAAATTGATGAGACGGGGGAGTTGGAGTTTCATTTACGAAATGTACACGGAGATTCCATGTACGAACTCAAGTTGACACCCAAGGGTGTTTGTCAGTAGAACAGAACGAAAAAGAGAAGAGAGACGCTTGTAAAAGGGACTGGTGGTTGTGTGAATAAAGGTGTGTGCATGTTTGTGGAATGGAATGGAACAATGATTCAATCAGCAATGGAAATGGTAAAACGAGCAAGTAGAGACAAGCGAATATAAGAGTTATAGGAATATACTGAATGCTACAGAATACAACCATGGCGGTTCACGACAGTCCAAGAGAGAAACCAATGGTTGAAAGGAGATACGAAGTCACAGTCACCAGCTAAGCAAAAAGTCGTCTGTGTGTGCGGGGTCCTCGAGGGTCTTCAACGTTTCCTTCTCTTGATCGGCGCACTTTCGCCTCTCGTATTCTTCCTCGGCGCACTTTTGCCTATCGACTTCTCATAGCGTTCAATGTCGGCTAGACACATCCTCGGCGCCACCAAGTCTGGTACGTCTGCATCGTGACTTTTTATTCCTTGCAAAATCACATAAGGAAGTAACTCATTTGCGAGCAACTTGTCATCTGAAAGAGACCACATTTCCATTGGAGTAAACTCTTTCATGGTGTTCCACAACCGTTCCCGACAATGCTCATTATCCTTCACCGCGGCGACAATGGTTGCAGTGTGGTCGACATTCACCCTAGACTTCATCTCAAAGATGTGATTTGAGACGAGCTCATTGAAAGCATCACAGCATCCTTTGACGGCTTTTTCAAGCGAATACTGAACTGCGTTTGTCAAACTATCCAGGAGCTCATCAAGCCATCGCAAACAACAACGTGATAAGGCACCACGTCCCCTTCCATTCCGCAGACTTTTTTCGGGGAGAACTTTCGGAATGACTTCGTTGCTGAGAAAGTTGTCACAAGCATCCAACCCATCCTTGCAGCATACCGTAGCTCATCAAACCAGGACACAGCTTTCCAAACGTTACTTTCGTCAAGCTTTGCCTTGGAAAATGGAGCCGCCAATGCCTTGATCAGCTTCCATTCTTCCGGTTCACGATCAGGAAACTCGAAGCGTCCCGATTGCTTCATCTCCGTGCGTCGAAATGCAGCGTCAAAGTAGCCACAACCCCACGAGCGCAACTGGTAGCTGAACTCGTGGAACTCGGTCCCGCCCACTACGACAATCACATCTGGTTCTGGTCCAGGAGGGTCGATGTCAGTCTCAAGGTTGCTCATTGCCAGCTTCTTCTTAACTAATGAAGTGTGTTGTCAGAAAAAGTGCGGCTTGAGAAGAAGATCAAGCAAGAGGGGGGGGAGCTATGAACTGAACACTCCACCCAACCATACCAGTAGGAGAGGTTTGCTTGTTCCCACCCTCTAGGAAAACCTGAAGCGGGAGTGGCATGGGTGAGACATATTTTTTGGCAAAGAGATGGGTCGTGTTGGCCACTTGCTCGACGTGTTTCATTGGTTGCTTGCGCGACTGTTCACAGCAAAGCTATCAAGAATGTTCCTTGGAAAGCTCTCACGATTGCTTCACTATGCATACATGCATTGGAGAGCTCACAAATAAGATTTTGAAGGGAAGCTTTGTAGAAGGCAACGGAAGACAGCCACACACAAAGTTGTGGACGAGCTTTGTCACTCCCATGATTTTGAAGGGAAGCTTTCTTTCTAGCAGCTAGAAGGCAAGCGGAAACAGCGTTCAACAAGGTTGTTTTCTGCTCTGATGAGTGCGTTTCACATGCATGCCCTCATGAGCTCACGGAGGTTCGACACCACGGTGTGGAAGATTTGCTTTGACAACCGCGGCACCAAAGACACTCAGTCATGCATTGCCACTGGTGACACATTCGAGTACCGTACATGCACGTGTAACTGGTACGGTACCAGTAGAGAGCGGACGCTTCCCGCAATGGAGCTATGCATAGCTAGCTACACTACATTGTACTGTAAGGGTATGTACCGGTAGGCAATTCTGCTGCTGATACATGTACCAAATCGTCTCTATCTATCTCGCTAGCTAGCTAGCTTGTAGGTAGCTAGCTCCACCAAGCTAGCAGCTACTGAGCTCAGGCAAGCTCGGCTCCGTAGCCATACAAACCATACAGTACTGTATTGCTTGTTGTCCTCGCATGCAATATGGTAGGGACAAGCAAAATCACTCCCAATGCGCTTTCTTGGTGATGGTGCGCAGGAAGGCAGGGAGAAGAGATAAAGCACTTCGGGGTTGTGGAGTTGGGTTTACAACCACTGTAGCACCTGCAAGTTGACCAGAAGCATCCTTCCTTCTTTTGGAACCAAGCCATTATTCCTGTTCAATCATATCGCTTTCCAACGCGAGGACAACAACGTGAAGCTGACATGGTTGTGACGGTTGAGGACCATGGTTTCATGTGTTTGCTGTCGCTCCTCCTCTTGGCGTCCGACCAGTAGCTTCTCGCCTTCAACAGAGCCAACCTCCAACGAGATCCTGTGCAACGACGCAATAGATCTTTGGGTTTTGCGGATTGGGACTGTTTCCAAAAGCCTGTTCTGAATGGTGGATGGTTCAGATGGTTGCTCTTGGACCAACCAGTTAGTTTGAGCTGTAGTTTGCATGGCGGGATGAAGCGAGAGCGAGAACGAGATATTTTTTGCATGTTTGACGGGTCATCATTGACACTTTTGGGTAATTAAGCAACTCTCTGATCGTGAATGGTCTCACTGGTTGCGCACGGTAACAAGTGGGTGAGGAAGATTCTCTGTTGGGACGGGCAATGACCTCTCTAATCCAATGAAGCGAATAGGTGCAAACTAATCAATTCAAAGTGTGAGTAACCATTCATTCATCTGCACCCCTTTCTGATGGGATTGATTTGGAGTTCAAGATGCGTTAGTTTTCGAAAAGATGAGGGGGCGGTCATCCTTTGCAATGCCGCAAGTTCAAGGGCAAAAAGCCCGCCAATTTTGCTAGTACCAACGGTGTAAATGCGGAGACGGGGTAATCATAGCATCCTTTGAGTGGGACCGTTCACGGCAACAACAACCAAGTAACCAAGCCAATCATCTGTCTTTACCATCAAGCTTTGTCCTTGTAGCTCAGCCACGGTTAGCAATCGATATTGGAGGACCGTTACAATGGCATGTTAGCCCCCTGGCCTCCATCAGTAGAATACACCACACCCCATCAATCTATCAAGCAAAAAGCCCCCAAGACGTCAAGCCGAAAGCCAATAGCGACCACATCATCCTTCGACGATGAATTCCTCGTCGTCGTCATCGTCAGCTTCCTACGGCCGTCGCCGAAGGTTACCGTTGCACTACTCTTCCAGCAAACGAGGGTCGCCTTCCCCTTCCAGAACCACGTCTCCCACTGGACGCTCTGCTTCTCCCCTCTCCTTGTCCGGTTACACATCTCCTTTGGCATCCTCTCCTCCGTCCTCCTTCTACAAACATCGTGCTCAGTCTCAGTCTTATGCCAACAGTAGCTTCACCAACAGCTTTACCAACAGCTTTACCAGCAGCCACAACTCTAGTTCACGTCAACTCCAGCTCGATGAGAGACGACGGCAACGCGTGCTGCACAGTCATCCTCTCGATCAGTCCGAGTCGGAATCGTATCATGAAGATCCTCTCCATCAAGATGTGAGTGGCAACAGCACCATGTCCCGTCGCTTCTTCTTGACGCCTCCAGAACGACTCCAAGTAGACCAATCGGTCAACTTGATGGACGTGGAAACGGGGCACTACGAGTTTGACAACACTCCTCCTCAAGCCAATACTAGTAGAATGCACTATGGCGAACTGCCGTCCAAGAGGAAGAACAACAAGCACATGAGCTCCTGGCTATCTTCCCTACTGTTTGGTGACAGCAACCACAATGACAAATCCAACGAGGCACTGGAGGCCGTCTCCTCTCATAGCCACAATCCCAGAGCGTCCTTTACGTCCGCCACCTCAAAACAAGACGATCCAATAGAGATGTTTCAGGATGAACAAGTCATCTTTCAGGATGAAGAAGTGGGACTCTCACCACCACAATCAAGACGTAGCAGTACTCGAAAGAGATCCAGCAAAAAGAAGAAAAAGAAAAAGACAAAGACCAAACAAGCTTCCAATGCTGACAAGTCCAACTCGGATGGTGATCCCAAAAAGGATGCTTCTGCCCTCAACTTTCCCAACAGCTTCAATCCCAATGACTGGGAACAACGAGCCCAGTCGTCCAAAGAATCACAACTCCAGGATGGAGACGACACCGTCGTCGTGGCGCATCGTAGTAGTCAAAAAGGCAAGAAGCCCAAGAAGAAGAAAAAGAGCAAGCGTCTCCGAAGCAAACTCAAGAAACTCAAGCCGTCCCGCATGGTGCTTGCCTTTCTGGGACTTACCCTCCTCTTGACATTGATCCTTGGCACCTTCCTCATCATTCTCGTTGCCACGGATACCATTTGGGTCTTTCAATCTCATCATCAAGACCATACTACTGATGCCCATCCTATTCCTGTTGTACTACAAGAACGCAATCATTCCTTTCTCGAATTGGAAGAACTCCCCGCATCCACACAATTCTTACTCACGGGCACTGGTCACGAGACACCCCAACATGAAGCACTCCAATGGATTACCGCCGATCCACACGTGACGCTTGTTGGCATTGGCCACAACTCCAACACGACGTACTCCCCACTCGAGACACTGTCGGCACGACAACGCTTTGCCCTGGCCACACTCTACTACTCTCACCACTCGCACTCGCAGTTATCAGAATGGCAACCACCTCATCCCGAACGCACCCATTGGCTCGATTATTCCGTCAACGAATGCGATTGGTTTGGCATTCTGCCACAATATCATGGCAACTACAGTGTCTGCAATCGCTATCATCAATTGCATTCTCTCTTGTTGCGCCACTATCAATTTCAAGGACGATTGCCCGTGGAAGAATTGGGCTTATTGTCGAATCTCAAACGCGTCGAATTGGGATTCAATCAAATCCAGGGCATCCTCCCACCGACACTTCTTGCATCGTGGAAGAATTTGGAATATCTGGGCATGGAACACAATCAAATGACGGGACAGTTGCCCACAACACTCGGGCTGTTAACCAATTCCAATGGATTGCATGGCATTCAACTCTCGTACAATCAATTCTCGGGGACGCTCCCCAGTGAAATTGGATTGCTCGTGCCACATTTGCGACTGTTCAATGTGATGCACAATCAATTGAGTGGGAGTATCCCGACCACGTTGGGGGGATTTGTATCATTGGACGAGACGAGTGATGGATACGGAACGGAATATGCCGCCCTCCAAGAACTCTCGTTGAATGGCAACTTTTTCAGTGGCAAGATCCCGTCCGAATTGGGACGATTGACTCAACTGACCAAGTTGGGATTGCACCACAATTTGGAACTGGACCATCAAATCTTGCCCAAGGAAATTTGCCAGTTGCCCTTGTTGGAAAGCATTACGGTGGATTGCGATATTGTCAAGTGTCCCACGTCGGTGGCGTGTCCGTGCCAGTGCATGGCCAATTGGTCCAATGGACGACATCCCGTCAGTCATACCACCGTCTTTACGTTGAATCGTGATGGAACGACGAGTTCCTCCAATGCACAAGAAGAGGATGAACAACAACCACTTCATGGTGACTCGGGGGCCGTGGCGCATCACACCAGCACGGCAGCAACGACCAAGACGGCGCATGGTGGTGCCGCCGTCCAAAAGAGAGATGAACAGAATGTGTTTGACCAAGAACACAATCCGTATGTGCAGGAACTGCAACCGAGGACGTTTAGCCTCAACGTGGACAAGAGGAAGAAGAAGCAAGAGAATGTATTCCACAACAACGGCAATGAGAATCGCCGAGGACTGTTGCGAGCGTCCATTGCATCTTAGTTTAATAAAAAGCAGACAGCCTCACGGCCTTCTTGTGAGAGCAAGCACAAAACCCGATAGAACTACGCTACTAGACTAGTAAACAGCACTAGTCTACTCATAATAATAACAGAATGGGAAATACAGAGAGCTAGCTTGCGACATCAACTAGCTGGCATGACTGTTGATATGATGCGAGGTTCCATGGTAAGGATCGAGCAAGCATGAACCAGTCGTCGAATTCCTCTCCCCCCAGCACCCTTTCTTGCCAAGCAAAACTTTAGCTAGCGACGGAGGCAATCTATCCGAGACAAACGTTTTTGAAGAAGACGCAGCTATAATAACGATGATTTCAGTTTCGGCGTCGTGACCACGGCGATACAGCCGTAGATCAGAGGGCACCAATCGGTTGGTTGCTTTGTTAGTTTGGAGTGTTGCTTGCTTTCGAATGGAATGAAACCTGTCAACTAGCGATAGCTACTAGTTTGTCAGGCCATGTGTGGCTGGGCTGGTTGTTTGCCGCGATTCTACTGATACAGTACTAGCCTAATAGCCAGCGGAATGATGCTGTGGATCCCAGTGAATAAAAATAAAAGTTGGGTGCACGAGGAGCGACGACCACCAAAAGCTTGGCTGCATCCGAGTTGAGTTGCTTGTTGAGTCCGAGTTACTGGTAGCTAGGTAGGTGGGTAGATAGCACACGAGAGCCTCGCTCTCAGGATCTTTTGCCTACTAGCTAGCTACCGTAGCTATTAGCCTGATGAAAGGCAACTGCAGCAAAGTCAAGTAGCTCCCTCTACCGGTTGGTATTATACATCGTACCAATGGCCAGCTGGAACACCAGAGTGCTCCCAATTTTGGTTTGGTTTTCGTCCAAAAAGTGAGCGCTCGACCAGTTAGTTCGGGTTCTCGGAATGTGGGACTGAAGGAACCTTCATTTCCAGCCCACTCCTCTCACACAGCTAGATCTAGATACAGCACACTCTCCACTCTCATCCATCCGATCTGTGTCTGTTGTCTGCTTGCGGCATTGTGCTGGTTGTTGTTTAGTTGAAGTACGGTAGGTTGTGCTGATAACGGTGTAAGGTCCTGTGGTTTTGGTTATGAATGCCTAGCTAGCTATTACCTCAAGTTTCCCGGAAGGTGCAAAGAGACACTCCGTCATTGATCGTACAAAAGCAAACCAAAAAGCACACTTTCACCAAATCATCCCATCATTCCATCATCATCATTGATCCATCCAACCATCACTCAATCACTTCAGTTCAGTGAAGAAAAATAAAGAGTCGTATAAAAAGAAACACACGACAGTGCAATGAAGCGACCCAGCAGCAGCCATCGTCCACAAGGCCCAAGCACCCATGCTTCTCCACACGCAGAAGAGACAGAGACACCATCAAGAATACGTCGACCACCTCCCCGCAATGAAGTGCTTCGAACCGTCAGTGCGGACAGTGCCGCTTCCGCGGGACGAGATGTGATGACCATTCTGCAACAGGATGATCAAGAACTAGCCGCTGCCAAAATTAGAGCCAAACAGGAGAATCAACCGTCACAGTCAATACAACAACAATCACAGTCAAAATCAATACAACAATCTACTGAGTCACAAGATCCAACAACACCACAACGACAACGCCCAAGAACGACGACCAGCAAATCTCCACCCCGTAATTCAAGATCACCGCGCAATACAACGTCGGCACCGCCACGCATCCATCCCAGAAATGATGTATTACAAGACAATGATTTTGCCGCCAAGCAAATGGGACGTGCGGCATCCGAGGCACAATACACCAGTAGGGACCAAGCGACCGCTGTCAATTTAGCATTTCGATCCTCTCAAAGAGACAGTAGTCAATATATGGAAAACATGATTCAAATAGACGACGACGACGACAAAGAAGAAACCAAACAGGAAGAAGAACCACACTCCAAGACACCACCATCAGAACAACCTGAAGAAGAACAACCACACTCCAATACTACACCACCAGACAACAATGATGCCAAAACTACTAGTATGGAACCGATTCCTGACTCCTCCAAACCGGGTGCCTTTCGCGTAGGAACTTCCTTTGCTCCCAATAATCCGGCAGTATCCTCGGACAGTGACAATAATGCCTCCTGGCACGCGGACAGTGGGGACGAACAAGAGCCACAAGATGGAGCCGTCAATCCCACAACCAACAGGAACGAACCGGTACAGGATGAAAGTACTGCCAATCACAACAATGACAATAATAGTGGCGGAGATATCCTGGTGGAGGCAACACTCGTGACGGCAGATGCGGATGCCATGGATGCCGAAAAGGGTCTGGTCCAGCAAGATCGGGTCGTTATACCGGAACCAGAGTTGGTCACGGCAGAGAGAATGTCCGATATACATCCGTCAACGCAAGAATTATTATCCAATGCTGATAACAAGCAAGGACGAAAATGGATCATGGCAGGCATTGGTGTATTATTGATCCTCCTCATTCTTATTACAATTGCCAGTGTCATTGTGGGAGTTGGAGTGGGACGACGACAAAAGAATAAGAATGAACCCACCGTGGCACCGACAACATCACCGACAGCGACACCCACAGCAGCACCCACAACGTTTTTCAATAATGTACTGCCAACCTCCACGCAACAAGCCATTCAACAGAATGAATCCTCCGCACAGGCGCAAGCGTATCAATGGTATTTGGACGATCTGGAATACCAAGCCAATGTCACTACTGCTGCAAATGACACAGATGATGACCCACATCAATTTGCTTCGTTTGTTCCTTTGCAACGATTCGCATTGGCCACCGTGTATTATGCAACGGGCGGTGGAGAATCATCGTGGAGTGTGCAAACCAACTGGTTGCATCATGATGAATCGGCGTGCAACTGGTATACCACTTTCTTTGGCAGCATTTGTGGGACTGGTCCTCTGTTCTTCGCTGGCCAGAGGAGGCTGCATAACGAGTACAACAACAATAACAACAATCTCCGACGACGGCAACTGCAAGAGGTGGTGACAGAACCACCGGTCCCTCCCAAGACATACTACAATCGACTCTCACTCTTCACAAACAACTTGGTTGGCACACTGCCCCCAGAGGTCGCCTTGCTGCCCTACTTGGATGTGGTCAATCTGCATGGGAACAACATTACCGGGTCACTTCCGACGGAGATGGGACTCCTAGCCTATGTGACTCTGTTTCAACTTTTTCAGAACCAACTTACTGGCAAAGTACCCAGCGAACTTGGGCTCTTGCCCCAAATCAAACAACTAAATTTGGGATTCAACACACTAACAGGAACGATCCCCAGTGAACTGGGGCAGCTGTCCAACACGGTGGAATCGCTGTCAGGTAAGAAGCAACTGGAGGCTAGACCCAGAGGCTACTAGGCAAAGCCTACCACTCTGATCAGATTTTTTCTTTTCACTTTTCAGTATCCAACAACTTGGTTGCTGGACAACTTCCTTCCGAGCTAGGATACTTGACCCGTTGCACGGCATTGTACTTTTACCGGAATCCAAGTCTTACGGGCCCCTTGCCCACGGAAGTGGGAAGGATGACTGATCTTAGGGTATTCCAAATGAACGACGCCAACTGGACTGGTCGGTTGCCATCGGAGCTGGGGCAGTTGACAGGCCTGTCAGAAATCTACTTGGACGACAATCCGTATTTGGAGGGAACCATTCCTGCTTCTTGGGGGAATCTGACAGCTTTGAGCACGCTATCCTTGCACAATACCGACCTGTCAGGGACTTTGCCATCTGGATTATGTGACTTGATGGACGCTGGCACTTTGGAACCCATTTCGATTGATTGTGGCAAAGTCAGTTGCCCTTGCAGCAATGTGACATGCGACTGTCTTCAAACCACATCAAGTAGCCATCATCAAAGCACCTCTGCTGGTGGGGAGCTAGTGACCGATGCTCCAATCCTTACCGAGGGATGGCCATACAACGAGACAGACCCATACGGCAACGAGCTAGTGACAGAAGCCCCTATCGTTGAGATTGAGGCTCCCAATGATGGGGCAGAACTTGTCACTATGCCGCCGTATGCCTTTTCAAACTATACGAATGAAGACAGCTATGTTGTTAATTCCAATACCGATGACGACAATGAAAGTACGGAGCTCGTGGAGAATGCATCAATTGACAATATGGAACTCCCTGACGACTTGACGGTCTTTCCGGAGGAATATACCATTGAAACGGTGCCACCGGACGAAGACCCTTTATCAGCCGAACTGGTGGAGTCGTCGGAAGTTTACAATGATTCCCCCGAAGATGAATTGCCTCCAGAATTGGTTACGTTTGAACCTCCAGCACCCACTGAGGCTTCCTCTTCCAACCCAAGCATGCAGCGAGATGCAAACATATTTGATCATTCGAAAGGATGATCTGGCACTGTAAAATTCCCAATAGAACCAGCTTGTAAAGAGTCAATAGAAGTCTTTATTAGAATACAGACGTTGAAGACTATGGGTTCTTAGTCATCGAGCATCGTCTTTTTTGCACAGGCTGGTAAGGTGGAGATCCAAACTGAAGAATTTGAAGAAACCAAGCTCTCTTATGGAAATAACAGAAGTAATTGGGTTTTACACAACAGCTAGTTAAGGCCAAAGGTTGGCACCATATTCATGCTCAAGTAAGGAGTCTCCGATTAGTCGGTCCGTGGTAGCGCTACAATCACAGGCACAAGAGCACCTCACCAAATCACAGTCTACAGTTAACCTTTTCAGCCTTCCCTTGATCCACAAGTCACAAACTTCTCGAGGGACACGGCCAATAAGCTCATTGTTGTGGAGTTCCAGGCTAGTTAGCCTTGTGAGAAGGCCTAGGGTGGTCGGTATGGTGCCAAAGAACTGGTTGTTGTAAAGATACAAATCTTTGGCATTGGACAACTGACCAATCTCGGTCGGAATGGGGCCCCAAAAACGGTTCCTGGAGAGACTGAGGAATTGGACATGTAGTAGCCCAATCTCAGAGGGAAGTGAGCCAGAAAAGTCGTTGGATCGGAGGCTCAGAGTGTTCAGCCGCTTTGCCTTTGCCAGATGCTTGACATCAGGAGGAATCGTACCACTGAGTGAGTTATTGTACAGATTGAGAAACACCAGATGATCCCATGAAGACCAGAAGCGACTAGGAAGAATTCCATTGAGGTGATTGTTCTGTAGCTGGACAATGTTCAAATGGGACAAGAGAGCCAGTTCTTCAGGGAGAGTGCCTTGCAGTGAGTTGTCCGGAAGGCTGAGGGTGTGCAACTGTCCTGCAGAGTCGCACACAGAAGAAAACTCATGTGTATACCATTGGCACTCCGAACGATCGTGGTCCATCCAGTCGCCTGACTTCTTCCAGAAGTGACCATTTGTGGAATAGAACAAACTTGCCAAGACAAACTTTTGTAAGGCTTCCAAAGCCGAAAGTGTGAGCATCTGTTCTTCGTTTTCCAACCAATGGAAGGCTCTTGATTGAGGGCTGAAAGAGTTTTCTTGCATAGCCAGCTTTGCATACATTGGCATTGTGTCATTGTAAAAGGAATCGAGATCCAACAAGGTCGGATAAACTACAGAGTTGGCACTGCTGTTGCGAGCCTCAACGACGTCATCCCAGCAGAAGTATATGATCAGAGCAGCGCAAACGCCCATTACCAACGACATGGACACAAGGTACACGGTTAGGCAACTGAGTTGTGGCTTTCGTTCGGCTCGAAGATTTCTCTTGGACTTTCGTTGACTACGCCCCTCTTCTAAAAGGGCTTCTTGCGGATCACATCCAATCCTCTTTGAACTCTTCTTCTTTATCTTGATCAAGCAAGGATCTTGATCAACGTCTCGTGAGGGGATTTCAACACGCCTACAATCGGTTCCTTTCCTTCTTGAACGTTTTGAAGAAACCTTTTCATCGCCGTCATCTACGGAAATGTATGGCTTATTGTTCGAAGAATGGGGTGTCGATGAGGAATCTGAAGTTTCTCCTCCCGTTGAAGATCTCTGTGCCTTGCTAGCAAGATACTCCAGGAGGGGAGTCTTGTCATGCACGTCATGGTCGGATGTCGGCGCTGCTTTGCTTGTGGCGAATCCGCCAACTTCAGCACCCCATGGTTTGAACGAAAAACCGTCGTCTTCCTTATTGGTTTTCGACGTTGTAGATTCTCCCTTGTCTCCTGCGCCATCCATTGGAAACCATTGAAGATATGCCGGGGTCTCTTCCTGCCTCTCTTGACGGTTGCCGTGGGAATCCTCAGAATTCGTCGTATCCGCCGTGGCGGCTGTGACCGAATGCTTGATCACCATCCTGTCGTCAGATTCCTTTTGCTGGCTGAAATTGGATCCATGCCTTTGGGCGAGTTTGGCGTCCTTCTTGTCATTTGCTTGGGTGACGGACCAAATCCCTGACGCAAAGTCATTCGGTTCGTTCTTGAAGATCAAATGTTCTGCCGAGATTTTTCTTTTTCCCTTTGGTGGATCATCGTTGAAAGGAGGCTCTACTATCCCTTGGTGATCAGACATCGTCCGGTTACAGTCCTCATTGCCCACTGAAGAATAAAATGTAGAAGCACCTGAAGTCACCGAACCTTGATCGTCTCCATTGGAGATGTATTGGAGAAGGGCTGCCACTTGCTGTTCCAGGTACTGCTTCTGTCGCAACAAGGCTGCCAATTGCTCTTCCACCTCAACACTTCGCATACCAGAGGGCCGTCCCCCGGAGGCAATGGTTTTCTCAGCACCCTGTTTCTCTTCCATTGTCTTTCGTTCCATTTCTTCAAACGATCGAGGGTCAATGAATTTTTCGGATTCGAGCGAATCCACAAAGCGTGTCAACGATAGTCTTCTCAGGTTCATGGTTACTGATTCTTGTTCTTACGACACGAGCCTTCACACCTTATGCACACTGTTCCATGCAATCTCGCTGCTATCTTTCTCACAACTCTGATAGCAAACTGCGAATTGAGAATCGGCCTTCGAAGGTGGGAAACCAGGCTTTGGGAATGTGACAGTTCAGTCATGCGAAACCTATCTTTTGTGAAGAGAACGCAACGGTAAGATAACAACTTGTTTATCTTGTTACTAACAACTGCGATTTAGGAACGTGTTGGCAGCCCTGCTGCCCTCGTCAATTTTGCAGAGTTCCCGTGCAGGGCATAAATACTCGCACGCTTCATAATTTAAAAGCGAGGGGGTACAGTCGTATCATGTTGGGTGTCGAAAGCCGCTTGTGCTGAAGAGACATTGGGTTCCAAGGTTGGTTAACTTGCCTCCGGTTTTGACAAGGTTGGATAACGTGGGATCAGCTGTCCACCGGAATCTTCGGAACATTGGCACGCACCAAGCCCGCTTCCATTGATGAAGAAGGAAGAAGGGCTGAGTTGAGTCGGCCGGACTGTAAAAAAAAGCCAACCAGCCCCAAACAAGTCAAGACTCCTGGCCAATGCTGCGGTGACAGATCTGTGCTTTATTGGGTGGGAACGAAGTCTCATTTTATTTTAATGCAGAAGCAGTTATGATGGTGCGCGCCGTACATCCCACTGAGGATAGTATCTATAGTACGGCAGCTCCTCTGCTTTGTTGGGGGGAGGGAACCAAGTCTCATTGATCAATCCCTCCAAGCTACGTTATTAAAAAATCATCATGGGGAGGCATCAATCGGAGTCTCTGTATCCAAAGGCGTATACAGTATGTCTTAGAAAGCCTTACTTTACTATACTTGGCACGGTTCGACAATTGATGCCCTCCTCGCTCAGTAGGCCAAGAAGGAACAGATCAGAGCAGCAATGGAAAGAACCACTGCGTGCGGTCCCACACTAACAACTCCAATGGACTCGCCCTCCGTACTATTAGAAGATGCGCTTGGCTCACCATCAGCAGTGCTTGGCTCACCGTCAGAAGTATCTGTTCCGTTTCCTCCTGCGTCAGCAGCGTCCGGCTCACCGTCAGCAGTGTCTGGCTCACCATCAGCAGCGTCTGTTTCGTCTCCTCCTGCATCTGCAGTAGCAGTAAGTGCAGCAGGTTCACTGCGAGATTGACGAGCCACAAAGTCCCACATGAGAGAAGTGATATCCACGGTTGTATTGGCAGCTTGTGCGTTGGCTTCAATGCCATTGTTGACAATGGCATGTCCTGCCGTGTTGAGAATGACCAGCTCCGTGTCAGCTGCGCAACCCTGACCTTTGCGATGTTCCATTGTGGCAGTCACATTGGGGAGATCCATTTCGGGTACATCTACCGTGGTGGAATCGGCCTCCTCTGGGCCCTGGCAGCCATTGGCTTGCAAGTACTCCTCAAAGCATGCGTCGGCACTTGGAAAGATTAAGAACTCTCCAAAAAGCTCGTCCTCGATCAATAATCCGTCATAAGCCACGATATCATCCAGCTGGCCTCGAATGCTTAGTTGCGGAGTAGGGTTGTACGAGTCTGGGATAGGCGTAATGGCAGGGGCGGCGGTACAGCTCATGGCAGCCACAATATCCGAGTAGGTGCGATGATAGGCGTGGGCCAAGATGCAGCCGTTGGAGTGGCCCGAGAGATAAATCCTGGACAGGTCGACCATTTGTTCCGCCACCACGGATTCCATTACCTTGTGGAGAAAGTCCAAGTCCATGCTGTCTGGAACCGTCGTTTCCTCTGTGGAGCAACAACAAGGCTCAGTCTCTGGGCCATCGGGAATGGGTGCTGGCGGAAGATTCAAACCTCCAGGGACCTCCCAACAATTCATTTCGAGTTGAAAGGATGATGTTTGAACCATGTTTCCCTTGTACCGGTAGAGATCGGAATAGCGCGGAGTAGTATCGAATCCAATCGATTGAGATGATATAAAGCGATCACAGTAGTGCATCCAAAGATACGGTATCCAAAGATATGGTACTCACCATTGGGTAAACGATGACAAAGCACTCCTCTTGTGCCTTTTGGATCCAACCGTTTTCATTGGCGTTCACAACAGGACAGCTTTCACTGCCATGAAGAATCATGAGAAGAGGACTGGGCTTGCCCTCAGCACAGGGAGGCACATAGGTGTGGTAGCAACGCGTGTTGCCAGTCTCATCTTCCTCATAACAGGTCTGGGGCATGTCCACTCCCAATTGAGTCGTCAAAACATCCGGGCCGTAGCCATAGCCATCGCACTCGGCTTGCTGGGCAACAACACTCTGGAGCGAGACGAGGGCGACAAGTGCCAATCGAAGCATCATGGTGCGGATAGTTTGTTATCGAGTTGGCAGTTTGACGGTGTTTGTGGTTTTTGGATGCTTTTGCTTTTGCTTTTGGGAGGAAATGAGGGAAAGGCTATCGCTCCGTGCAGGATCCAAGGCTCTATGCAGGGTACCTGTATCTTTTCGTCATGACTCAACGTCCGGTGCATCCTGGATCCTGGAGCGATTATTTAAAAGTAGCTTGACAATAATGCTATGATTTACCACTGTCTAGACTACTGTCTTGTACCCTGGTTGAGTTGGATGGCACTAGGTAGCTATAACTCACCCTCCATCTTAAGGTAATACAGTACATGTACCGGTACGTGTGATCTCTGTTTGCTTTTTGGTTTGTACGTTTTACAGTGTATTGGGTTTCAATTATTGTTGTCGTGTCTGTTAATGGAGTGCATTGTAGTTCATATCTATCTAGTGATCACCTAGTTTAGATGAGTAAAGAAATAGAGTAGGATTTCTTCAAGGCGGTAAATCCACTACTCCAATGACTGTCACGTGCACACGCGCACTGTCCACCATGCGCCGTTCAGGTGTATCGGTGCCATGGTACCGCAAAGCGCAAAGAACGGCATACATAGTCTCATGTCGTGAAGTGACAATCATAAGCACCATACATGTAGCTGCACCATACAAGTGCTACCAGTGGTGCTCTATAGCCAGCCCATGGCTAGCTATAAGCGCTCCTTTACTTAATTAATACAGGAGCAGTTCTGGTGCCGGTACATCCCAGTGGGTAGTATCTTTGTCTCCTTGGCTAGCTAGCTAGAATCCCAAAAGGTCCATGAGGATGGCAGCCAGAGACTGGCAATAAAACAGTCAATTATTGGTTCCACCTGTTTTCTAAAACATTCTCCTGTCCTTGGAGGCAGTGCAGTCACAACCACAAGTGCATCTCACTTGTTCACAGTCAACAGTGAGTTTTGTCAAGCTTCCTTTGGAAACTAGCTTGCAGATTTCGTCGGGGACACTGCCAATGAACTCATTATTGTGTAGTTCCAGACGGGTCAGCTTACTCAACTGACCAAGGGTGGAAGGAATGGTGCCATAGAACTGGTTGTCATACAAGTACATCTCTCTTACATTGGACATGAGGCCTAGCTCTGTAGGCAGACTTCCAGTGAATCTATTCGCCGAGAGACTTAGAAACTCCAAATGCAGCAAGCCCAGCTCTGGAGGGAGCGATCCTGAAAACTGATTGGATCGAAGGATAAGGGTATTCAGGTGCTGAGCCATTGCCAGGAAAGAAACACCACGAGGGATTGTGCCTCCCAGTTTGTTGTTGTAGACATTGAGATAGACCAGATGCGTCCAAGAAGTCCAGATGCCCTTGGGAAGGGTGCCCGTCAGCTGGTTGTTTTGAAGTTGGACAATGTTCAAATGAGATAGAAGCTCCAGTTCCTCGGGCAAACGGCCTTGGAGAGAATTGCCTGGCAAGCTGAGGGTGTGCAGTTGCCCGACTCCATCACAAATGGAATCAAATTCATGGGTGTACCACTGACATTCCGACGTTGGGTAATCCAACCATGATCCGGATTTGAACCACCCATCGCCATTGGTTGCCACATAGAGACTTGCCAACACAAACCTCTGCACAGCCTCTACAAGTTTCAGAGCAGGCCTGTTGGGATCATTTTCGAGCCAATAAAACGCCCTGGACTGTGGGCTGGATGGATGCTCAAAGGCACGCTGGGTGTACCACGGCAGGACATCGTATTGGAAGGAACTAGGAGCCAGGGTAGGATGACCAATCAAGGCACTCTCCTGTGTCTCCTGCTGCTTGTAATGTGCAAGGTACATCAATGTGAAGGTCAAGATCATGGTGATGCCGACAATGAGGAAGAATCCAAGAAAGACGAGCCACAGGCAACGGCGTCTTCCATTACTGTTGTCCTCGTCGATACGGAACAAGCCTGGCATGCTCCCAAAACTCGCAAACGAAGATTTTCGTTTCGTAGCAAAGATAATGTCATGGGTCAAGCCGTCGGGAGCTTCTTGGTCGTTGTTGTTGTTGTTGTCACGGAGCAATGCCTTTTCCTCGTCACTGTTGCATGCCACCGCGGTTCGGATGAGCAAAGGATCTTGCTCGATATCTCTGGTTGGAGGTGCTGCTGATTGACGAGCGCTGTTCCGCTTGGAATGGCTCCTACCTCTGGTACTGCTGCCGCCAATGGACACTTTGGCATCTCCGGCGTCGACTGCCCCATTGCCTTGCTGGTGAGATGAACTCGGGCGGGATGCACCAGTAGTATTCTTGGTAGTGGTGGCCGTGGCACTGTGCGCAACGTCATCAAATAGACCCTCTAGCAACGCGACCTTGTATGCCAGTTCGTGATTGCTGGAGGCATCGTCTTGTGTGAGCACGCCTCGGACCGCTTCCGACGCCGACCCCGTGGCAGATCCGTTCGTCAGCGCCCCAGGGTTGTTGTTACTACTTCGAGCAGAGCTGGTTGCTTTCTGGTGTGGAGGAGCATCCATATTTGAAATATTGGGCTCGTGAGGTGTACTACTATTAATAGTAGGACTGCTCCCCGGTCGAAAGGATTGTCCCATGGTTTGAAAATACTGCGAACAAGCCCGATCGGACGACAAGGCGGACACGGCTTCCTTGATGCGTGAGGTTTTGGGGCAAAAGGGTCGCCCATTGACAGTGGCATCGGACACGGCCGCCGCCGCAACGGCCTTGGTAAACGATTGGCGGCGAGATGATGGAATACTAGAATGATGATGATGATGATGATGATGATTACGAGAGGAGGCAGACACAGAGGAAGATGGACTCTTTGCCTTGTGATGATGATGGTAGGGATCATGATGATGTGACGGTTCCATCACACCATCGTCGTCGTCATCATCATCGGCACCCGGTGGGACCGGAGCTCTCAAAATAATGGTGCGATTCAATGTCATTGATGAATGTTTGGGAGATGGTTGAAAGTCCAGAAGAGTGGGCAGCAGCGTTTCTTCCACTGCGGCGGCAATGTGGTGTGGATTATTCTCTTCCGTCAACTTCATCTTGATCTTTCGAATGGCACCGGGAGAGAGGGTCAAATCTTGATTATTATTATTGCTGACATTGTGTGGTGCGCCCTTGTATCCGCGTGCGTCCTTCTTTGGAGGAGAAGAATACAATTGGCCAGATGGATCCTTGCGTGGAGGAGTCAACGTATAGGAGATCGTCTTGTCCTTGTTGTGAGTATGGCTTGTAGTATGAGCAGATCCTTGCTTCTGTTTCTTCTTTTTCTTGTTGGATGATGATGAAGTGGTCTTGTTCTTTGTAGCATCCTCTTCCTTCTCTTCCTCTCCTCTTCTGCTACTACCGGTAGTAGTAGACTTCTTTTTGTGTTTTGAATGTCGTGGCGATCCTAACTCGCTCTTGCTCTGCTGCGACTCGGCTTCGCATGCGGCCGAGAAGAATCCACTGGAGTTGGGCGACGCATCCGATGCGTCTCCTCCTGATGAACCAATCATGGCAGCCGTCTGTTGGAGAGCCTCCACTTGTCGATCCAACTGCTCTTTTTGCAACTCAAGGATGGCCACTTCTTTCTGGCCTTTCTTGGACTTACTCTTGGACTTGCTCTTGGACGATCTCTGGCTCATTCTGTTTGTTGTTCTAAAAATCGTTCACGATTGTTTCGTCTGATTGCATCCAAGCAAGCAAGCAAGCAAGTGTGACCGTGGGATTGATGAAGACGTTGGAGATCGAGGTTCAGAGATTCTTTGAAGCATCAATGAAGGGTGCTTTGCTTCGATTTGGATACAAGCACGTGAATCGTTCCAAATTTTGGTGAGACAGACACATTATTGACGATGTCCTTTCCTCTAAAACTACACTTTTTCCTTCTGCTGCGGAAGCGGCGTTGTCGGAATCTTTGGCTTCCTTTCTCGGTGGCCGAAAGACGCACGTGCTAGCAGCGTGACACCCACCAAAGATCTGCTAAGATCGCCATAATAACACCCATTTAAATTGTTCATGATTTTGGCGCAAACACAGTGACAAAATAAAATGAGAAGCTTGAACGAAACAATTGTGGTACTGCTACCTTGAGTCTAAGAAGCTTGGACATTGAGTTCCAATAGCTAGTTTCCCAACCAGCGGAATTACGATACCGGTACTGGAGTACCCCTCACTTTGATCTCTCCCGCTAGCTATTAATAGTCTTTGTCCTACAGTATCCCCCTCCTGGCCCAATGGAATTCTCTTGGCACATTCCACTGTTGGCCTGCTTGCTCCTGGTTGTGCTTCATCCTGTTCCTGCTCCTGCACTCAATTCCCGGCATCCACTCTCCCCATACCGTAGCTAGTCCACTCTAAACCATCGTAACCTCTCCGCGGATCAGTTTTCTCCCTTTCTCACAAAAGAAAGTGGAGAGATGAAACAATGGTACCATACCTGGTACTGGGTTCATCACTCTAGTAGAGTGCCTTGAAATCGGGTGAAGGCAATAGGTTTTTTCTTTTCTGTTTCCATGCATCTTTGTTCCCGTTATCAAGAGCATGGAACTTTAGAATTGGAGAAACACTACATGTACTAGCAGTGTATCAATACGAGATAATACTATACTAAACGAATGCTTCATCATGAGATGGGATATCTTATTTTAAAGGTAGACATTTGGTGTCTCCAACAGCAGGAAGGAACAGAAGGAACCGACGCCGAATGCAAGAGATCAACAGTTAGACTACATACAGTACTCGGATACCGGTACCCGTGGGAGTCAAGGCTCTGACATCCTTGCTACCAGACGTGGACTCGTTTGGATGGAAACCGCACGAACTGGGAGTACAGGCGAGGACTATCAGCTTTGTTGCGGACGTCAACTGCAGCACTCACATGCTGCTGCTTTGTGTGTGTAGCTTGGAAATAATCTAGAGGAGCGACGCTTCTTGACAAGAACAGCGAACATCCGATATCCAACAGCGAACGACCATCGGTATCATCATTGACAAGGCCTACATGAACAAAGCAAACCGGGGTAAGACGACCTCCAAAAACAGAAGAGCCAACGTTACCTTGACAAAAGGACGACCCAACCAGTCTCTGGAACCACCGCAAGATGACTCTGGAATCTCAATCCATCAGTGTCATCGTCATGCATTGAATGGTCTTGTGAAGCAGTTGTAGAAAAATACGCAACTGCATGATGGAGTTGGTGAATCAGTTCGAATCGATCATTCGAACTCGAGGTTTTGATTTTTTGCCCCAAGATCTTGCAACCCAACGGCATGAAAGAACGACGACCATTGAGCAACAATCTGACACTGTAGGAAGCTCGGGGGGGGGGGGGGGGGCATCAAAGGATGAAACGGTGTGGATACGGTATAGTCGCCACGTTGATTGATTTCGCAGGCTTGGCTTGGAAGCCGAGCACTGTCTGCAGCAGAGGTTCTTTCTCCGCGTTGGTGGCAAAGGAGCCAAGTTTTGGAAACGATGTCACCAGCCAGGCGGAGCGGGGCAGCATACTCTTCCATTGTTTGTCCGTACGGTACCGTACCGGTACATGTACCTCCTCCTTCAGTCTCCCACCAAGGATTGTCCGATCCATTTTCAACTTGCTGCTCGTGAACAGACCCAGATACCTGTTGGGTCTTCTCTCGACCCCGCATCCCACTTGCTGCAATTTCCAAATCTTACAACACGCCTTGTATTTGGGTCAGCTCTCGGATGGCTTCCTTGGACGGTCACGTTCAATGATGTGGATCCCGACAAGCAGAATTACAAGCAGTTGCTTAAAGATCTTTGGGACGATGGCATGCTCTGCCACGACTTTTTCGCTTCCAAAGTTGGATATCAACGACAACGACAACGACAACGACAACGACAACCGACGCTCTCGAAGGCGAATATGGTAACGGTACCTTTGAATGATCCTGATGGGGAGACCGCGTGTGATATCTGCTAATGAATGGGGCCAAGCATATAGACACAGAACCTCAAAAGAGTTTATCACAGTATTATGCGTATAAAAATCCTACCAATGTTGGTCCTAACTTGAGAACTAGCCATCAGCGCCATCGGTACAGCAGCCGAGGACAGCTCAGGCCGTGGTTTCGGACATCTCATTGCCATTTTCCCCCGTAGCATCACAGACTTCAGGATCTTCGCCCTTATCCACCGTCACATCGTTGATAGCTTCATCCTCGTTGTCCTCTGCTCCCCGACAACCTGGTAAAAACCAGCAGCACAGTTCACCAATGTCACCGCGACCGGATCTGTAGCCTCCTTCTGGCGGCGGAGGAATCCTGCCAATGCTTGGATACTCCAAGTACACGCAATTGCGAAAGATCCGCGAGAGACCCAAGGGTAACGAGTAGACCTTGATGTACTCGGGATCATTGACAGTGTCCGTGTTTCGTACAGCATCCCAAACATGCAGACCTCGTTCCTCTCTGGACTTTGAGGGGACCGTGTTGTCCAAGATGAAGGCTGAAAGGAGTGCAATGATCATGGGAGAACTGAAAATGGCCAATGCTATTTGAGCTCCATTGGAATCGCCAAAGGGATTCTCCTCTTGGGTGCTAAAGTAGCCTCCGGCCCTGCGACGGACAATGAATTGAACAAGGCAAAACCAATAATGAAGAGGTTGCGCTCACTGTTCAAGTCCACATACTGAAGCGTCGACAATCCGACAGCCACAATGAGACCAAAGACGCAGCAGTAAATGCCACCGACCAGGGCTGAAGGCATGCTAGCGAGCAGTCCCGACACCTTGGAAATGACACCGACAAGGATCATCACGACGGCTCCGCATTGGATGACAGCTCGACTGCCAACTCTTGTCAAGTTCATGGCACCGATGTTCTCCGAGTACGATGTAGTGCCATTGCCAGTCCCAAACAGACCCGCCAAGACAATGCCAATGCCTTCTCCCGCCAATCCTCGGCTCACAATGCCAGCGGTGGGAGGTGGGTGCGCCTGACAATCTGGCGCAGGAATAGTAGTCGCCTGTTGTAAGAAGTACAGAGTGAAGACTGGGTCAGCACTTGTTGATCAGGCGATTCCCAAGCAAGTCTTCGGACGACCTTACCAATGGATTCGATCATCTGTCAATACAAAAAGCAACGCAAGACAATGAGATGTGAGATCATGAAACACGAGAACCATAGTGCCGATACAAACAAACAATGTACTCACTCCTGCCGCCATGCTTCCCAGCATTGGCACAATGGCATACGATTCAAATCGAGGTGCTCCCCATTGACCAGGATACGGGATGCGAATCCAAGGTGTAGACTTCAGCAAATCGCGTGCTCCATCCGTGCGACAGAGGTGACCTTCTTCCCAAACGTCGGCAGCTGTCAAGATGGCACCAAAACTCCACGTCAAAGAAATTGCCAACACAATGGGAAACAGGGCAAAGATGGCGTAGCCACCAATCTTGATGTTTTTGAGATACTGCGAAAAGAGGATGGTCAATCCAATCTGGAGCAATCCAATAGCAAAGCAATTGCTGACATTGTTAAAGCCGACATTGTAGAGGCCTAATCCGATTGCAGCTACAACAGGAGCAATTGTGACGGGAGAGATGTAGCGGAGCATGGGCACAATGATGCCAGTGTATCCAATCGCTGTGCTTTGACAAAGTTGAGCAGTAGTTTAGACACCCATAATAAGGAACTGATCACATCACTTGTAGC